TAACATTGATCTGTTGTGTTCCTTAGCTAGGCTAGGGTCTTCTTGTATGCCATGTTTACAATTAGTAATGCAATTCATAAATATTTTATATTAAAAGTATATTTATGAGTTCAACTTTAAAAGTTTGATATAGAGGTGAATGTGATGCGAACGAAGTCACATTGCTTACTTATAATTTCAATGTCGTCGTCTGGTATCATTTATGAATGTAGAATAAAATACGATTTACATAAGGAAATTTACAGAATATAGAAAATACAATAAATTCACAATAGTCTACAACTACAGTCAGCTGGTACAAAAATAGTATTGAATTCATTAATGTGTAAAAGAAATTTAGATAATAGATTTGAATATAGAGTAGAAAGAACGGAACCATACCGGTATGTTTAAAATAAAGGGGAAAACATAGTGGTGCCTTCTTAGATGAGCATGTTGTAGCAGTTAGCGCAATACCACGAGACGCGACAGCACGTTTCAAAAACCGGAACCAGTGTCGCAAGACACAAAGGTATCATTCGTATTTGCAAGTTCCATGAATAGTGGAACACGTGTACTGGGAATCGCAATAAAGTATCGGTGCATAAAAAGAAGACGTATTAAGTTATGTCACCTGTGCATCGATATGCACGCCCTAGTGAAAAACCGCGTGTTATGGAACAATTTAACACGTTGTGCATGTATGACCATTGAAAAGTGCATTGCGATTTCCAGTTATCGTGGCCGGTGTTTTCGTTGCCACTGGCAAAGAACGCATACGGTTACGTACACGGGTAGACTACCGAGACGTACTGGCGTGTACTCACGACCACTTTCATGGAGTGTGAGCGTTAAATGCAGGGAAGGTACTACTGTGTTTCACCAGCATGTATTGTGTCCCACAAACATATTTGTATGGTAGACGTATATACTCAGAAGGAATGAGTATTCTGTCTTTTATAAAGGGCAGAGCAGAGGTGTCCACCTATTGCTTATGAGGAGCATTCTTTCCCTCCGGAGCTACCCTCATTATGGGTCTTAGTTTGACTTGGTCGAGTCAATCTGAGGTCGGTAGTGGAGGAAACCCACGAGGGGAGGCTCGAACAGCTTGTGGCTTGTGAGCGACATTTGGACACCTCTGTTATAAATTATATTTTTTTGATAGTTACTTGTTGCATATTAAGAAAATTTGATTTTACCCATTAGTGTGTTAATTATTATTTTCAACAGTTGTACTGTCACTTGTAGACAAATAAGAAAATGAATGGAAGTTGAATGTAGATATTTACTAATGTAATTAGTAATACTATTTTTTATTACTTACTATTTTATAATTTGGTTAATAAGTGCAAGATTTAATATGATACCAGACTACTGCAAAGAAGTTTAAGATTAGTACTTGTGAAGAATGTATATTATCAGATTAACTACGCGTATTGAAATGTATCAGAAATACGTATTCTCGCGTTTCTCAAAGACAGTTATAAAAATTAAATAGTGCACTTTGATACATATAGATTGAGTTAGAACATAACGTTCTGGACAAATGTGATATTACAGACCATATACAAGAAGGCATTTCGCGACGTGTAGATTTCTGAGTCAAAGTGACATGATTTGTTACACTTATGTTATATGTCTTACATTGACTTTGACGACGGAATCGCCCGAGGGTTGTTCAATGTATAGAGTCAAATATCTTAGTACATAATCATGATGTAGAGTCTTTTTGTCGTTAAAAATGAATTTACATTAAGATCTTCTTACTTGTTAATACAACGTCGAGTCATGGTTGTTGCAAATGAAGTGAGAACCAATGAGAACATATTAGACCGTTAGCAGAGCAGAAACTAATAATTGTTTTAGTCAGGATTTTCAGGATAATTATTCCGTGTTCGTTGCTCAAACCCTTTCACGTGCCCAGGTGCTACTTGATTGGGCGAGAGCAGCGGGGAACGATGATTTGATTTCATATATAATAACAATAACATGTGTATGCGACTGGCAATGCGTTAACTTACCGTGCACGACGTATTTTCCACTTGTGTGTGTGTGGTTATTAGGCAGTGGAATTGCGTCGGTTAGATTTCTATCAATTAACATTTCATGTGTAGTTGTTCCTTGGAACAATTTCTCACAACTTCGGTATCGGTCGTACATATACCTTTGCTGTGTACATATAATGCTTATAATAAAATTTCCATGGAATATGTACTGGTTTCGTGTCTCTCGCTATCAGTCGAGAAAATTAATACATAATCGATATAAAATATATCAAGTATACGTATATTGTTTAAACAATTTTTCTATTTTCGCAATGGATGCTAGCCTTTGCCAGTCGATTTCAGGAAAATGGTACGTACCTATTAGAGTGTGCATGTTGAAAGTCGCGCTCGGGTGTCGGAGACGTCCCGGGACGTTCTCCCTAGGTCTTCGGTTGATTTGCACCCGGGCGTATATTTGAGAACCGTGGAGTGTTGTGTGTTGGTGAGAATCTGTCTTTTGCCATGTCTTTTTAAATATAGGTCTTGGTAGGCAGGTAGCATACTTTCTTGTGTGTGAATGTGTACGATTAGACTGTAAGTAGGTAGGGGCCGGGGCAGGCTATTACATTCTCCAATTGGGTATGCTCGCGTAGGTTTCGCGTGATAGTCCTGCTACCGGGATAATTTGTAGCGTCGATTCGAAATTGGTCCAGACGGAGCATGCTGTCTGCTTCCGATTTCGATTTCGATTCTTCAAATTCGGCGAACCCCAAGGGGGTCGTCGTCGCGGTCGCGGTCGGAAGAATATGATTGTCGAAACGAACGACCTGCTCGATTGCACTCGTGGTACGATCATACAGACTCTTGGAGTTCTGTTGGTTGTCCACAACCGAGCAGCTTGAGGGTTTCAGGTGGGTGGACTGCCGAAGAAAAGAAGAGGCTATATGCCGAAGAGGCCCGACCGAAATTGTGTCATTGAAAAGGGCAACTACTAATGGCTCTGCATCCTCGGATGAGGAGTCATTCTGTTACTACTTTGTCACTGTACTCGCCTGTAGTTGTAGTCGTAGTAGTTTGTATTGTGGTCGACACATCGGCCCAACCACCAGCAATATTGGGTAAATCGTGGTTTGAATTAGTGTTGCGGATGAGACGAGATCACGGTTTGCTTGGAATTGTAAATTTTCAATACAGATCATCGTAGTTGCTTAGAGAATAGTGTTGCGAAAAATCAGACCGTGTTTCCTTTAAGATAGGCGGTGTTAGCGCGAGAGTGCTGACTTGCAGTCAAGTTGAACGCGACGAACGGTGAATTTTCGTTTCGATCGAATCGTCATGCGTTAGGGCCATTCACTTTCGTTTCATCGGGGTAGTTGTACCCAAGGAAATCGCGAGACACGATACAGGGTGGGTCGAGGGGGCAGAGGGTTGACGGGGGTCGCGCAGTCGCGCTGACCGCTGTCCATCTGGGTAGTACGCGTATTATCCTACACCTGCGAACACCTGGACAGGTAAACCGAGGAAAGCGTGAACACGAGCGTGGAGTCCTGTGAACTGTCTCCTAACAACACAGTCAAAATAAGGGGAACACGAGTCGGGAACGGGGAGTACAGTGAGTATACAACCCCCGGTCGAGGGTGAGCGGTGTGTACGCCTCTTTGATCGCGAAAAAGAGCAATCGAAATACGTACTCGTAGAGGAGATTTCGATGAGTCGAGAGGGCCGGTGTTTACCTTTCGAAGAGTTGTATTGTGAGTAACGATAATCAGCGTGACCCGTGTGATGAAAATCCGATCAGAAATCTGGTCGATTATTATACATTGGGTACTCCGATTAAAGCAAAATCAGTTCCCATTTCCGTTCAATAAATCGTGAAATACATATTGCGGGACCACTAACACCCAGAACGTACGAAACGTAACCGATTATCGGTTAGCAGGTTACCAGGTGTTACATTTCGCTCCAGTGTGTATTATTCTTAGACTCTGTCAGGAGTTAAACTTTCTTTAAGAAGTTCGTGTTCACGAGTGTATACCGGCCAGAAGTACTTCCGTTGTTTCATAGTTTCGTTTCCTTCTTCTCTCGAACCACTTGTACATTAAACCGTAATCGAGTTACGAGTCTGAAACATATTGATCAGCATTAAGGAGAAAGTCGCACCTTGCGGGTATTAGTTCCTGGAAGCAGGACGGAAAGAGAGCCAAGCAGGTGGCCACGAACTTCATGCATTTGTAATACACGTACCTCCATGGTATATTCGAGGTTTCTTCCCGTGGAACAAAGACGGTCATTATCATTACATATTAACACTTTGCTAGCGGGAGGGTTTTTGTGTTTGCAAATATACAATAGGTAATCAGGTGTTCGAAAAATATTTAGAAACTACTACTTAACTTTTGTTTCTCAAAATTTACATATACAACTATATGAATATATGTTACATTTTTATTTATAAACTTATGAATTATTAAATATATTACATAAAAACAAATAATTATAGGAAAATCGAGTTTTCTTACTGCTACGTCAATCGCTCGCAGCTTTTGTTTTTGAACAAAACGTTAAGACTTACAATCAAGGTAGGCCTCGATCATTTGAATTCCTCAAAGAGTACAGAAATATTGTCAAAGTTCAGACTAGCCGTTTGACAGCTCGCTGAAAATTACTAGCAGTTACACAGTAGAGTCGCGAGTCGATATTCAACATTGTGACGTTGGTGGGGGGGTTAAAGTTTTTCCCTGGCAAGAAAACACAAGTAACCAAATAAGCTCTTCAAGTCCTTAAGGTATCCTAGAATCCTGCGATCTGTCCTTCGAGAGTGTACACGGTTCAAGACATTGTCACTCATTCCTGAGGAAACGTTGATTATTTAAGAATCGTAATCGATTAAGGGAGTCGTGTAAAGCCCTCCCCCGGGAGGCTAGGGGTAGAAATGTTCGCCGTGGCGCGTTATATTCCCGCGATGGCGACGCACGACGCGGCAGTCGCTCGGCTGTCCAGGCGGGGCGAGTCGGTCACTGTTTTGCGCTTGGAACGATGCTCGCGCGTTTTCGTAACGCGTTCAATTGTTCCCTGCCGAAATGCGGGAATTTCAAACTTCCAGGGATGGATAAGCCCGAGTCCTCTACGGGGGACGAGAGCAACGCGGATCTCGAGGACAGGGACCCGAACAGCCTGAATCAGCACCTTCAGGTTTGTGTACCTTCTCGTCCGGGACTAATACCTGTTGAACGAATCTCTGTCTTGTGTTCCACGATATCCCGCCACTCAAATATTCATGCACGCTTGAATGAAGTTGTTTCATTTTTTTTATAAACACGTTAAACGCCCGATTTTTTTACGTGTGTTTCTTCTTGTGTCACTCGAAAGTACAATACAGTCAGTAGGTAGGTAAAAATGCGATGTATTAAATATCGAAAGATATTAAAATATGTACGAAATGAATATGCAATTTGATATCTGTTTTCTATTTATTCATCGTGAGTAATTATTGCGGCACAGGTGATGTGGGACGACGTGATCGGAGAACCGGAAGGAATACGTAGTCCGGAGTGCGCGTGGCGTCTCAGCGGTCATTGTTTTCGGTTGTCCAGGGGATGCTGCTACGTTTTACTCTCGGTCCTCATCGCGCCTATATTAGCCCTTTGTTTCGGCTTCACCTTCGCTTGCCTCGCGTTTCAAGTGAGTAGACCAAGTTTTTCTCGTCCCTCCCCCCTGGCCGATCGATGTTGGCCATGTACGTTTATTTTTGCTTCCTGGCTCCTGGAGAACCTTGATTTCTATAAGGTGCACCATTGCACGTTAAACTCTTATTCTTAATCGGAATAATAATAGATCTTCTTACAGATTATGAATATGTACGAACGAATTGAATATTGTACGAGAGAGTTTGGAGTCATCTGGGAATATGACAGTAAAAATAATAGCACAAAGAATTCCTTATAAAGTGACCCCAAACTTTCGGTCGTTAATGTGGATTTATTTAAATCGGGATATATAAAATAAAGTACTTATCGTTTTCATCGGTTCAATTATCCTTATCCATCTCCGATAGGAGAGGAACAAGTTCTTAATTGCTGGATCTCCGTTTCGAGAATAAAGAAATAAAAAAAATTCTGTACAATGGGTGGGAATGAACTTGTTCTACCAGTTGATTTTACACACTCGAATCGATCACCGTACGTCACGATGCTTAGATTACCCATCGGCGAACCTTCTTCCAAAAGGTCACAGACTATAACCGAATGCTGAGAATAGTCTTGTAAGCGAAGCAGCAGAGCCGTCGGTCGGCTGTTCGTAAGAACAGGAATTAAGGAATCGATCCTTTCCAGCACATATGGTGTCTGGCCCCCTGCCTACGCGTCTGGAAAATTACCTGCGCGGCGACCAGAAATTTTCTCGTCGCGGCCACGCAGGCCATCGTACGACCGGTGATGGACTCGCTGGGCTACTTGTTCCATAACATTCGTGTCTACAATCAAAGGCTGCCGGATGGGCCGGCCGTGAAGGACGATCTACTGGTGGTATGATCACGCATGTCGTGTGATCGTCAGCTCCTTCGCCACCGAAATCGCGTAATGGAAATAAGGTCACTTTGCGGACGAAAGTGAAAAGCTTACATTAAAAATTCTGTAACGGTGGAAGGTGTCTATACATATACATACATATATTATATATCTATTGTTATAATGTTTTGCAAATAAACTATGCCTTGTGGAAACATGGCGTTCTGGACTTTGCTGGCATTTTTCGGTAACTTAGCAACATCTAAAAGGAATTTATATTTGTGAAAGTATTTCTGCTTAAATTCCGCATATTTAAATTTCCCGCTGTTTCGTGGGAGTTCACATGATTACTCGTCTCGACGAATACAAACATTGTTATCGGTGAAGCGTAGAATTAATGAAGCAACATTCGTATATATACTTTAGAAAAACGAATAGGAGCATTATCGGTCTTCGAAAGTGGGGTGACCGTGATTATCGATAAGCGTTTCTCGGAGAGATCAACAAGTCAGTTTTCAACCGGCTTTCGGTCAATATGGCCGTTCTCGCGCAGAAGTTCTTTTCGCGATGCGGTCGATTTTGTCAAGTAACTTCGTCCAGGCGTATCCTTTCATATCGTCGACTGAATTTCAACGATATCGCGGAAAAAAAGTTCCAACGATAAGTAATATCATAAAAATAAGAGCTAATTATCTTTTACATACATTCAAATGTACACTTTACTTTTGTTCGATTCGGTAATTTCGTATAAGTATTCTTCTTAATCGATGTTTTAAACCGTCAGACATTTCCGTTTCGTCTACACTTGGTGGAAAAAGTAAGTTTCCTTCTCTTCTTCGATTCTATTGTTCCTGTTTCTCTTCTAACGTACGGAGACACAGCTACGATGAGACACAGTAGTTACATAATAGTATTCTTATCTCCTGTCAGGTGGCAGCACCAATCCTATTTTACTTTATGCAGAATGTATTAATAACTCGAGAATTTAACAGATCAATTTCAACGTATCCTCTATCCTCGAGACACTATATGTATAATAAATTATAATAGAACTTCCAAATAAATGAGGACAGGATTATCGAACAATCGACTACCCTATATGTATAAGAACATAAGATCCGCGAATTAGTTACCATACGAATGCTAAAAAGTACAAAGATATTCGAATGTTTTCAAAAACCAGCTGTCTTTAGTTGGGAAGATCCTTTCGATCTCGAGTCACAGCTGACTCAGGACGAGATCCTGATTAGGGATCAGTTTCGCGTCTACTGCCAGGAGAAGCTATTGCCACGTGTGATCGAGGCGAATCGTAAAGAGATCTTCCACAAGGAGATCATGAGAGAGTTAGGGGAACTCGGGATTCTGGGGTGCACGATGAAGGGGTACGGTGCCGCGGGGGTGTCCTCCGTGGCGTATGGACTCATGGCCAAGGAGATAGAGACCGTGGACAGTGGATACAGGTCTGCCTTTTCGGTGCAATCCTCGTTGGCAGCCGGCGCGATATATGCACACGGGGACGAGTCGCAGAAGGAACGATATTTACCAAAACTCGGTACGTTGATTAGATAATGGATTGAAAGTGGTCGAATCGATAGATCCCTAAAACCCCATGCTGAAGCCTAAAAGGGTGGGCACACCAAATCCTGTAGAGTTTAGCGATTGCTTTTAATTTCGATACTCCCAGTTTTTCGATCGAGAAGAAACCTCGCTAATTGCTTACAGTTTCCGGTGAATTGATTGGTTGCTTCGGGTTGACCGAGCCGAACCATGGTAGCGATATAGGATCCATGGAGACCAGAGCTACGTACGACCCGGAGAAAAAGGTTTACAGGCTGAACGGGAGCAAAACATGGTCAGTTCGTTGTAGTGTTCGATAAATTAAAAACGTGACGAAAGAAAAACACTCTTACCGATCCCCGTACTCAAAAAATTCCATTTGAGTCAGGATTACAAACGCTCCCATCGCCGACATACTGATTGTCTGGGCGAAATGCGACGACAATGTGATCCGTGGGTTCGTGGTCGAGCGTCAGGGGAACGAGAATCGTCTGTCCACACCAAAGATAGAGGGTAAGTTCTCTTTGAGAGCTTCCATCACGGGGATGATACTGATGGATAACGTGGAGGTGCCGTCGGTGAACCTCTTATCGAACGCCCAAGGTCTAAGAGTAAGTCCTTTAAAGAGCTTCGCCTATTGGAAATTTTGATAGTCTTCTCTTGAATTCCGTTCTCGTACTGTTTCCCGCGAACGTAATTGAAGAAAGACCCGAAGTATAGGCGGAGAAACGTGTATATGCGTATATGTATACATACGACTGACATAGGGACCTTTCACTTGTTTGAACAACGCTCGATACGGCATCGCGTGGGGCGCGTTGGGCGCCGCGGAAGCCTGCTTCAGGGCGGCCAGGTCGTACACCCTCGACAGAAAGCAATTTAACAGGCCACTGGCGGCGAACCAATTAATGCAGACGAAGCTGGCCGACATGATGTGCGACATCGCGTTCGGTCTTCAGGCCTGCGTCCGAGTTGGCAGACTGCTAGACGAGGGCAAGTAAGGAGAACGACGAACCTGACACTCTTTTAACCCCCTTCGTACCTCGGGTTTCGGAATCCTCGAAACGTGAATCCATATAATCTTCATCCGTTTTCTGTCACCAAGAACAAACCGAAAGCTTCGTCATTGTTTGTTGTCTTCTATCTTGTTTCCATTAGAATTTTCTTCTTCTGATCTCTTCCTATACCTATCCTGTGAATGTAAGTGGTTATCTCGTCCCAGACCGACGACTGTTTCTTAGGATTCTTTGTCCATCAGAGCCACCCCGGAAATGATCTCCATGATCAAGAGGAATTCGGCGGCGAAAGCTTTACAAATCGCGAGAACCGCGAGGGATATGCTCGGTGGCAACGGAATATCGGACGAGTACCATATTATTCGTCATGTGATGAACCTGGAGAGTGTCGTCACCTACGAAGGTGCGTACAGACGTTGCATAGAAAACGCAAGTTTCCCCGCGACATGTGACAATGAAAAAAAAATCGACTTTCCAACGGAAGAAACACTTGGGATATTAACCTTTATCTTTCGCAGGCACGCACGATATTCATTCGTTGATACTCGGCAGAGTGATCACAGGCATTCAGGCCTTCAGTTAAGGGCAATCTATCGGTTTTGGGAAACATTGATTTATTTGTATTTACATTTGTACATGCCTTTGATACGTCTTAATAAAGCCTGGAATAGGTATACTTTAAAAGGTCCACGAGTTTGTTCTGATGTTGGAGAAAGCTTCCGAATTCTTAAAATCATCGATATCGTTTCGTTGTTGAATGAAAATGTAGGAGCTTTTTGGGGTACGGGCGTTTCATGTAAATATATAACGAATGCGGAACTTAAAAGGAACAGCCTATTGTCACCGAGTGAATCGCAAAATCTACGTGGCTATAAAGAAGAATCAAAGAACAATACAGATGCCTCCAAAATCGTGTAATCACTATTTTTTGTTTCTCTATTTGTTTCTCTCTCACTCTCTCTCTCTCTCTCTCTCTCTCTCTCTCTCTCATTTTCTATTTCGACACCGTCGAAAATCGCACATTTACTCGTCGAATACCGCGGAAAATAAAAAAGGTAGAAGCGTGAAACACACGAGAGTCTCTTCCGTTTTCGTTCCGCTTATTATTATCAACAAGGGCGTGTCACAACACAAGCGTAACTCCGAGTTTTAATCATAAATAAATTAAGTTTAATTGCTAAGTAATAAAACGTTAATTACATATGTCAATTGATAATTAATTTAAGTACAACACACGTCTCGTGCAAAAGTGTAAAGAAGTATCTTTTTTCGTGCTACACTCAATTACCATTGGTTTTCTTATTACTTGCTTTGTTTTTTTTTTGTTCTTTTTGGTTTTACGACGTAAGTTACTCTTCTCTCTCTCTCTCTCTCTCTCTCTCTCTCTCTCTCTCTCTCTGTCTGTCGGTTGGTTTCCGGTTTGGTTTTGTGTGTCTCTGTGTGTTATATTTTTTTTTTCTTCATCTGTCCACTTTTAAATGGTTCTCGACTACAATAAGCTCTTGGTAAAACGTAGTAACATCGTTAGTTTACAGTAGTTTACAGTCGCCCCCTCCCCCACCATCCCTCCCACCCCCCAGCCCCTCTTGCGCGTTTCCCGATCTCGTCGGAACATCGTGTGCCTATTACATAACTACACGCGCCGGCCATGTTGGAATCGAATTTTCCATTCAGCGCTTCCCTCTATTGTTTGCGTTCGAATAAGAACTTCTTCCTTGTTCTCGAGTTACAGACGGAAAAAATAGTGTAATACAAATTCCAAATTCGGCTGGATCCACGATCCTCGGTCGATCGACGAGCGGACGCCTAACAATGTGGTCGCTTACGAGAAAAAAACTAACCCCCTCGTCGATCTTCCCGCACGCGCGCGTTGAGAGCGGATCGGCGCCATTTTTCGGTCTTTGGAAAATTCGATCCCATACATTTACAAGCTACATACCTCTCGATCATTCTCGTTTGTTTTATCTTATTATTCGCAAAAATCAACGACACGCCGCTCCGTCGACTAAGTTTTCAGGTTCGTGAACCCTTCATCGTTTCTCATTTTCTCATCCACACTCTCTGTTATACATATATGTATATTCTCGTGTGTTTCCTCTTTCTCTCTGTGTGCGTGTGTGTGTGTATGTTTGTCGTGTGTTATTTTGCGTGTATGTGTTATGTGTGTCATTCACTAATGAAGACAAGTAAGTGTAAACAATAAATAATGATTTCATCTTTTATTCGCGTTTAATCTACGATCCTTTGGTATGTCCCCGCGGAGATCCATCGATCCGCGGCCATCGATTCACGGGGTCGTCTCCCCCTTGAACGAGAAAAGAAAAGGTAACGACACCGCCGAAGCGAGAGATCGATCCGTTTTCCTCGATCCTCTCGTTCCAGCCTCCCCGATATTTCATTTGTATTTCCCCCTCTCTTTCTTGAGTGCTTTTCTTTTGACATCGATTTTCCACCGCTTTCCAGACCGTTCGCATAAATTCAAAGCTGTACTCGATTCTTGTGGTGCAGCGGTCTGCATTTAAAACACTAAAAAGGAGCTTCAACCCTCCCGAAACATCCGTGTTCCCTTTCCTTCCCTCTTTTCCCCCTTTCCTCCGCGTTCGAGAGACCATTTTTGTCTCGCTCGTCGAAGATTTTTCGCCTTCCATACTCCACTGGATGTCGACACAATGTGAACCCTCATATTATAATAAATATAATAATGTATACTTGCTTTTGCACTTGTATTTTACATTATTTCATCTCTGATTAACTAATCGATACCTTATTGTCGTACGAACCGTTCACCTGTTTTCGCACCTGCGATCCTCTACTCTCTGTCCCTCTCAACCTCTCTTCTCTCCACCACCCTCTTTCGCTGTTACGTCGAGCCCCAACCGATCCAATTAACAGATAATTAGTTAATGAGTTACAGGTCCTCAGACGTCCTCGCGATCGTTCGGGAGCTTCTATTTTATCTGCCTTCGACTCCATTACTCACTCGTCGACGTCTCAACAACAAATTGAAATACAAAATTTCTTGATGATTTACATGATTATACTACGTATTACTTGTATCAATAACATTTCGGATTTTATCGATGGTCTACGGGATCTCCTTTTATTTCATTGGATATGTGGCCTACATAACTATTTGTGAAATGATGTTTCAGGTCTGTAATGTAAAAGTATATGTATATTGAATTCTTTCAATGAAAAAGGTGCAGGTAGATTTTCGTGCATTTATATTCTGGCGCACTTTAGGACACTTCTTATGTTAGATTGCAATGCGTTTCATTCTTTTTTTCGTAAATTATAAAATGGATGGACCGCTAGGTTATCTAATCTCATTAAAAAATGTTGCAATTAAACGATAACACGGGAATATCATTAAACAAACACCGTCAAACAGATCTCGTAAATTTTATCAACAAAATCAAACAATGGAACAATGTTCAATTACCGATCATTGACGCACTGGCACAATGGCAAATAAATGTCGAACATCAAACAAAGCGATACATAAACATTGCAAAACGTAATTATACGGTACTCAATTATTAAGGTAGTCATTCGAATTAAACTAAGCATGAAAGTTATGTGGAACAAAAAGAATCTAATAGATGTTCACGAAACGAATAGCCAAGTCCAAGCCAGAAATCCAGCTCCGAACGATCTTTACGCGTGCTATACAATAATATAATATATCCATATAATATATTACTCAACATTCGTCCAATATTCGATATACCTGCCGTCCAAGGACTTAACTTTTACAATTTACTCTCTATCTGCCATTCTCCCATTTTATCCCCCACCCCCATACTTCCAACTATTCTTTCGTTTCTATCGATTTAACACTCGCGCGCGCGACTTGCATCGTTGCAATATAAAAAAACGCGTATACACACACGGACCCGAAATAGATTCTCTTAGTCTCTACGTTTTATTCCCTTCTTTATCGTTATTAGTGTTATTTCTGCCTTTTAATATTTATATTTGTATATTCATATTTATATATGTTCATTTACCTTCGCCTCGAGGTTCCGATCCTCCAATCCACCACCCCCTTGAACGTAATCATTTGTTTCGTGCAAATGATTCGAAAAGGGTGGTGTGTTACGCTCGGTGAAGTACCAACCCGCCCCCCCCCCATTTCGTGTCGTCTCAAGACGATCTGTTTTCCCACCCCTACCCACAGATTTACGGTTCTACATTAACCCCCCCCCCTTCCCTCACCACTTCGTTCACTGTCACTTTTCTCTTCGTTTCAAACCCTCATCGATCGCCGGTTCGGAACGAGGTACAATATATTTATATATAAATAGATCATCGAATACTCTTCTTTTTCTTTTCGACCCTCGTCCCGCGGTTCCTGTTCGTCGTTAGTTAATATTTTTATCAATTGTCGATCGATCTACTCCGGGGATCGATCGACAATCGTGCCCCCATCGATCGCTGGAGCTTTTCTTTTTCTATACTAAATTATATATTAAATTATATACTATGTCCTTGCTTTTATGTTTAGCAGGTTCTGTTTCGCGTGTACCTAACATGTGTGTGTGTCCATCGGTTTCCACTGTATTTTTTCTCGATTACCCGACCCCCCCCCCTCATCTCTGTGCCACCCTTTCTTGTAATTATTTTAACAGAATTTTCTAACAGAAACGCGACGTTTCGTCTCGATCCTAGTTTTTACGACAAGCGCCCGGTTCTTGCCTCGCTTCTCCTCTGATTTGCCAACCCCGTCCGTTCCCTCTCTTCCCATCAACAAACGAACGCGTGTACTATTAATTCCGATCAATTAATCATTAATTGTCACGTTACGATAATGAAAATCGGAATAATGGTAACGTGGAATGACGGTAGAAATAAATATCGTGATAAGAACCAGTGGCAAAGGTGACAATGGTCGATGATAAAACGTTGATCGATAAGAAGAATCGTCCGCGTTCGCGAACATAATTAACAACCGCAATTAATCATGTATTTACAGGTATTTATCGTACAGATTCAGTCCTTTCGTAGAATCTCCTGCTTAACTGACTCGCTTAAAGATCACGCGATTGCCTCGCTTTTTCTTTTGTTTCGCATCGACTTTCCTCCGGTTCTTCGGTCGCTTCCGGTCTCGCAAAATCGACCACGAAACAGTGGTTCTTCCATGGAACGATGCGACGAGTGTCTTTATGAATTTTCTGTTGTGGCTGTTCGCTATTTTAGACATTTTCTTTGATTGTGAAATTTTCATCGATTATCAGACGTATTGCTTTGATAATGCCGTTACACTCAACCGGGGTACAGTTACATTCGTATATATTATAGTTATAAGTTTCGTACAATTTTTAAATTTCTACCAATTTCGTGTTTTCGACCAAGATCGCTATTTATTGCTTCGTTTCCTACTCTTTTGTCATTGCTGAATTTTCCCCACTTTTCCAAAGTAACAGATTCATCGTGCTCCAGTTCCGAACAAAATTCCCTGTGTATACCTTTCTGCATATTTACGCAACATCCACATACAGAAAAAATCACAATTACCGCATGTCCAACGAGACCTCGATGCATCGTTTACGCGACCGTCTGCCATCTTGTCGGCCTTTCCGTCTTGCATGCCTCGAGCATGCCCGTCCTGTCCAAAGCTTTAAGGACTTTCCCCACATCGAATATGCGTTGTGTCAAGGCAAACAAAACACGTTACGTATTTATGTACTGTATGTACATACGTGGTTCCCACCATCCACGTACTCCGTCTTTCGCTACATGTACTAGTCTCCGACTTTTTGGCGCGACAACATAGCGTCCGATAAGCACCAGAACCGGACGAGGAAACAACTTCCATGAAAATCTCGACGCTCGAACCCCTTTCGTATTCTACCAACCTCGAACAACCCCCTCCTCCCAAGATTTCCTCATTTTTTTCCATTCTTACACACCGTCCAAAGGAAAACTCGACCCGAGAACAAGTCGGAAACGTTCCGAAGCACGTATCACCTTATCGTATATCGGTCTCACACACTCTCCCCCGTGTTAAACAGCGACATGCTCCCCTCTTACAGTTAAATTTAAACCGTTATTACAATAATATATGTTTACTTTGTACTATATATGATCTTATAATCGACGGCCGGCTGACACGGCCGCGCGCGTTTTTTGGGTTTCCCCGCGTCGCCTGGTTTTGGTTTCCTTTTATTTTTGGTACGATGCGAGAGCCAGCAGAGCGTTCGCATTCTCGACACAGTGTGTGTATATGTATGTGTGTGTGTGTGTGTGTGTGTGTGTGTGTGTGTGTGTGTGTGTGTCTGTGTGTGTGTGTGACTTCCAGCTAGACCCCCGACACAGTGTGTGCGTCATTTCCTTTCTCGTTTCGTCGCGCGCGCTGGCCGGATCGACGAAGAACGAAATAAGAACAACAATTGAATTTAAACCATGACACGAGAATATCGAACCGGAAACGCAGGATCGGATGATTATTGTGTACAATCGGGTTTACAACACACGAAACGATATGTCAGCGGGTGTATATCTCTGTGTGTCTATGTATATGTGTTTGTAAGTCCTCAGGGCTCGTCTATGGTTAGTGGACGTTTTAACGTAAGAATATACCGATCTCATCGTGTATAGCGACTAGAACAGAAGATAGTTTTAACTGTTTTTCATTAACGTTCTGATTCTCGGCTGCGAGTGTTCCGTTACTTTCCTGGAGATTCCACGGTCCAAATACATATTTTAATGCAGCAGTCGGAAATATTCGCGATCATAGTAGAATATTGTGGCGCACAAGAATGTTCAATTGTTGAATACCTGGTAAAATATACCTTTTGCAGAAGTGCAACACCGTCCGTGTGATTTATACACATGATTCCTCCCATTCACGCACGGCCTCCAAAGTTCCATATCCTCCCCCCGATATTCGGAAATCTCAAGAATCGAAGAATCACTCGCAGAAGAATTCCCTCGATAGACGGGGCCTATAGCATGTGTGTCCGTTGCTCGACAAGCGAGGAATGAATAGATCATCCCAAAGCAAACGCAAAACGTGTAATAAGTTTCTGCCCAAAGCTTTGGGAACGCGGCTCGCGTGCGCACGAGAAACGCGAAAAGAACCTCCTTTCTTCTCCTTTCCGGTCACCTCGATCATCATCGGTCTTTTCCACGCGATCGAAACGTCTCTATCTCTCTTTCTGTGTGTTTTCTCTCTCTCTCTCTCTCTCTCTCTCTCTCTCTCTCTCTCTCTCTCTGCTACCCCTTGTTTCTCTTTAATATGTACAATAGCACAGCACAATTGCGGTACGGTATCAAGTGCGGTTCGCTAAGTTACTCTATCTCTCCCTCTCTTGCACGCACGCATTCGATTCCGGTCGCCTAGTTCGCGCGCGCGTGTCGGTGAACACTGAAATCCACTAATTCTCGCGCGAACGATCACATATCCCTTCGTCACGCACACACACACACACACACGTCACCGTGTTTTCGCCTCCGCCTCTTCTTTACCGTCGATTCCGCACAAAACAGCGTCCACACTCTGATATTACAATGTCCAATTACATACATAGAATTATATATTATCACTTGGCACGTGCACACCCTCGACACGATGCCACATATCATTTTTATTTTATATTTCAATTATATTTTACTTCTCTATATTATATTTTCTTTGAAGTTCGCCTTGTGTGTGTGTGTCTCTGTTCGCTCGCGTTTGTTTCACTCATTCTCTCGCAGTCGAACTCTCACTCACTCGCTCTCACACACACACACATACACGCACACACTCTCTCTATGTCCTTTTTCGTTCTATCTGTGTGTACGTGTGTAGTTGTGTCTCAAGAAACGATGACGTTCTTGTTCCATGTCCCTGTTCAGTTTTTCACGGGTCTCCCGGTTGTTCCTTTTAACGACCAACGAGGACACGACGAGTCTAAAATTCACCCCCTTGCGGCCTCCGATCATCCGGGCGAGCGGCTTTTTTTTTTCGTTCTCTCCCCCTGTCTCTCGATTCTCACCACCACCCCCTCCCCCTCTCCTCCCCCGTTCGATTAATGCTTCTGGAGGCTTCATTCGACGATCGAGACACGTCGTCGTTGCTTTAAGTTCTTCCACGTTCGGCGTACGGATTGATTATCTAATTATCAGGTGAGAGGTAGTCTCGAATTTTTCAATCGTTTTTCACGGAAAATTTTATTGGTCTTCGAGGGGGTAATTTTTTGTCGGGGTTGATATTAAAGTAACGACGTCGATCATCGGCGACTTCCTCGAGTCGTGAAAAAGGATGCAATCCCCCCCGCAACCCTCTGCGATTCCACCTTAAGACTTGCCTAACTCGTCGTCTAACGTTCATTGATTCAAATAATAAAAATGAACATGGCACGGAATATTCTTCTCGCTCATGGCACTAAAAATACTATTCGCAACATGTAAAACGTTCGTCGAAACATTCATTGGAATCATTAAAAATATATTAATATCTCAATTGATCTACGCTGTGATCCCAAAGGAACAATATAAAAATCGCAGAAGGTTCGCGGCGTTTGGACCCTCAACGAAACAACAAGATTCTCCCCTCGACGTTTAAGTATTTATAACGGATTGTTAAACAATGTCTATATAAATACAAGAGGGTGTAAAGCGACAGAAACCATCCAAGGGGCGCACCCTTTTATACACGCGAGGAAGCTCGGACACGCGAATTTTTTTTTTTTAAATCTCGAGGCCCGTGTTCTCCTCGCAATTTTGACTAGATAAAAAAATGGCGACCATCGCGTAACCACCTTGACACGCGTCGACTAGAAAACGTTTCAAATTGCGGATGAGGGGGTGAGAGTCAATCCTTCGCGAAGAAGGATCGCGCTTACGCTAATATGGCAAATTATGGCACCGCGGTTCCCACGGAGGGATCATCCACGTCGAACGCGTTCGTCGATCGCTGGATCGGACCAGAGTGTACAATCGACGATCGTCCCGAGATCACACGATGGTGTTGGGGAGAGAACTCTCGCGACCGGAAGTCGATGGCCGCCGCGATTTCCTTCGACGCTGTGCTCGACGATGCTCGATTTCGATATCTGGAACGTTTCCCCCCGTATTTATTTATTATCAACATTCCTCCGTTTCGTTGGTATTTGGAGGCCTTTGAAAATGAACAATTTTCTAAGAAAAAAAATCATCGATTCAATTTCACCCCGCAAAATAAAAGATTTCCGTTCGACTTCTTTTGGTTCTGAATTTTGTTTCCGAGAGCCTTGTCACCTCCTTGGTTTCGATTTTCATTTCGACACAGGAGGATCGTCCCGAGAGGAACGTGTAATATCTTCGATTCTACGATACGTATAAGCACAATAGAATATTAACGAAATGCTGATCAACAGAATTGAAAAAACTGGAGTGCATATCGTGGGGACGTTAGCGAGGCTCGACTGTAATATGCAACGAACAAGGCTGACACATGTGTGCGGGGTGGGGTATGGCTCTGGTTAAAAAATCATCAGCTTTGACCGAGCTATTCGGACGAAGCTGCGAGACCGTGTCTATAAGATAATGACGTGGAATAGTTTAAACACGATGGCCGAGCCCGCCTTGATATTCATTTCACTCTCCGTTAAAACTGTCTCTGAAATAACGCGTTCGCCTCAGTTTTTAGGAAAATTCCTGTAGATCTTACAAACATAAGAGGTCGTTGCTAACGTGACCTGAATGTCAAAGAATTTCCAAGAGGCCCGCTGTTTTGTCCCAAACACGTTCTTCTCTATCTGTAACCGCGAGCCCCCCCTCTTTTCTTGTCGCCGAATTCCTTTCGCCGTAAACCGAAGGTGACCTATCATCATTCGCGATTGACGCGTCGAAGATTCACCGTTCGGCTAATGGACAAAAAGGGACGACGTGGGGTTCTGTGTGCAGTGAGTCTATAGGTTTCGCGTGTGGAATACTGACGTTCCAGGTCAGTGGTCGGTAACTAACACGACCGGTGTGAATATCGTTGCATCGCGAGCGTCGGGCGTCGCGAGAATTATACGCGTGTGCGATTCCGCCCCCATTTTACGAGAAGGGCAGATCTTCGTCGGGCGACTCGTCGTGGTACTCCTCGTGGTCGGACGTGTGTCACAAAACGTCGCTTGGCTGCCGTTGCCCGATACCTATTGTGGGTGATAATTGTCCCTCGTCGACCGCCACAGTCTTCGGGTCCTCGTCCTTCCACTTGTCCATGGAGCGGCGTCGAGCGTTCATGAAGAAGTTGCCGACCGTCGTCGGCTCCAGGCCCAGCTGCCTGGCGATTGTCACCTGCATCTCTTTCGACGGCCTTTTGGTCTCCTGCAAGAAGAGCGACGATCGGTAAGCAATCGAGTGTACACACGTTGATTCACGCGGATAGGAATTATTTAAATACGTACTATATATCCCCAGATAGCACACGACGTTATATTTGTATATACAAAAAAAAAGAACATTTATATTATCGACGAACATAGCAACTGCAAGGCGCATGATCCTCTAATTGTTTCGTAGCCAGTGTATAGTTTGTGGTTGAATATGTTGCGCGTCGATGTCAGTGATGCTCAAACCGAGTTCTATGTGTACTCTACAAAAGACCACTCTTCGACTGTAGGCCGTAGAATCAACCGAGAAGCTAGAGAGTCCGGGATCTAGAATCTAACGTCGATCATTTGTGCCGGCCGTGTATATTTCATCGTCTTAACGATTCGCCAATTTCTCGACTTTTTTCGTCTTCATAAACCGTGGCTGAGAAATAACGGAACGAACCTGATCGAACGTTCGGCATTGAAACGAAAGGAAACTATGTACACAGAGACGACGGGAGGAGGGTGACAGAGAAAAAGGGTGGTCGGTAGGATCGTTGTTACGAGTAAACATTTCTGTGCACGCGGGTAAACGCGGGGGCCGGCACGATTTCTTCCCACGCGACGTTTCTTACTCGGCCTGGCTCGATCAATAACAGACGACGTAGTGAGTGAGTGAGGGAGAGAGAGAGAGTATCGATTGGTCGACGCAACAATTATTACAAACCGATGCTCCATGGAGGGGGGGGGGTGCGTGGCAGAACGCAATAATTAACGCGTTCCCTACGCGAAACGCCTATCGTTTAGCCGAGTGAACGTGATTAAATTAGGAATGAACGAGCACAACCCCCATGGCGATTGCCCCCTCTGTCTCCCTATGGTTCACACCGAATCCTTGTTCTCTCGCAAACCGGGGACCATTTTGAAAAGATCAGTTTCTTGAAATTTCGGTACGATTTTCCGACACGAAGCAGTTGGGTACCATATATAATTAAACGCATTTCCGAGGTAATTAGATTTCGAACGGATATTATAATAAATTAGAACAGTAATCGATAGAGCGATTAGATGGAAGATAGATTTAATGAACCACAGATACCAAGCGTATGTTCGATTGACTGTTTACGCGAGGAAGAATTTTACTTTTTTCGTCCTCCAAGTTGTCTGTTCCTTTCATCCCCTCCCCCCAATGACATGTACGCGGTCCTCCCTTCTCCCATTCTCCTTTTCTCTTCAGGCACGGTGCACAGTGGCTGTCAAGGAATAATCACGATCCCCGTGCCGATAGTGTCCTGTATTCCCAACAATTGATACGGCCTCTCTGTGTAGAGGAGAAACTGGTGTGTGTCTCTCTGTGTGTATATATGTATGTCCCGTAGACAGTGCCGGTAACCTTCGTTTCGTTGCGTTACACGCGGTGAATTACATCCCGGACAGGATATCAATACACAGCCCTTGGTGGTCCCTTAAACGTCAACCACCGCTAAGGGGGATTGCATCCGAGTGGAATTAAACGATTTCGAAAGACCCGCCACTGATTCCGCGTGTGTAATGAGTGGTCCTCGCTGTTCCTACATTCGCGAGCTATCTTCGAGTTTTTTTATTCGTTTCGAAGAAATCTCGCGAAAAATATCACATCAAAAAACAAGACACAAGACAAGTTGGATCGACGTGGAATTTGTAATATTTTAATTTAAAATCGCCAGTCATTTTATATCCTGATCTAACCATCATCATGCCCCCCCCCCCCGATCACATTCGATTATTCTTCGTGGAACAACTTTAATTGAAAATTATTTCTCGCACCACATGGACGAAAGTTTCTACGAGTGGAACTTTCGAGAATCTATACAGTTTATGGGATGATGATCTCCAGAGCTCTTCGTGGATCGCAGGGAAGCGTGCGCGACGCGGAGCTGGTCCACGGGGGTGGGGGGTGAGTTTGAACGAGTTTTACAGGCTTGAATATAATCGAGCGGAAAATAGAAGCGGAACGCGAGAAAGATCGAGCGGTGTTAACTGGGCTAAGGTCAATTCGCGAACTATTTGGCATACTTCCAAAGAGTCGGGGGAATACGCTTCCCGACACGATTTTCCTTTTTCCCCCTTCACCCACGGGGGAACACGTTCACGTTATTTCCATATTTATCTTAAGATCGAATCCTACTGTCACTCCGAACGGACACCGAACTGTGTTCAGATAAGAATGATTCGTTTATGTTTCCGAAAGATCGAATGACTTTATGAGTACTAAAAACTCGAGTACTAAAGGATTCGTGCTTGAGATCTTATATCGACGTAAATTACCTTCTCCACAAAAAAAAATAATTTTACAGATTCAGGTGTCACAAGAAATCCAATGTAAATTATCAAGTAAATTCACTAGAAATTGATCGTTCAAGTTTTCGCAATCTGTTATTCTTGTCGCTCGATGTATACAGGATTTGAGTAATATCAGTTTTGGTAGCGCGATCGAAACGGCAATTTTATGGAATGTGGGAGAAGAGCACACATCGAAATATCGGGCAGCTAACGTTTGGAAACGGAGGCAGCACGCGGCGCTGGTAATGTCGTTGGGAACCACGCCAAATAGTCTGGAGAACCGAAGCCCCGTAACTGCGACGAACCTGTCATTAAAGGAGACATTAAAAGACAACGAAAAAGAACTCTGGGAATAACGGCGAGGGGGGGGGGTAGACATTTACGCGGGCATGGGCCACGAGACTGCTCGCTCGATACTACGTCGATAATATCTGTGACTGTAAGGAAAAACGTCACATGTCAAAGAGTTTAAAAAAATTGCGCTGTAGAATATAGGATTTATGTATTTATATATTCATTTATTAATATATTTGAAAGAAATAACGCAATTTAATCGAAGGGTCCAATATGCTATTCATACGCATTAGGTAAAACGACGTAAGTCCACAAATGTTTTGAGAATACGGTTAAACAAATATGATTTCTCACTTTTGCAATTCTATTACCATTGAACTACAGAAGAAATTTTACTCCCGAAGGAATATACGAGTCTCATTTACTCTTTATTCTCTTCGAGTTCTTAATTGTCAAAAATGCTAACTTCCAGTTTCGCACTAGTGTATTTACGACCGTATGTTGAGCTGGGGGATGAGTGATTTCCGAGGTTTGATATTTCTTCTTTAACTGCTTTTATTCGATATTCCATAGAATGCTACTCCGCGAGAAAAATGCTTAATCTATCGGGAGAGAAGAACCTTGACCGAGATTGTCTTGGCGAAAATTGTTGAATATAACCAAAGGGTTGCAACCACATGCTAATAAGGGAGGCGGGGGATGAACATAGAGAAATTAACGAAAACTAATCAGGCAGGGTCGCGTGTCCCTGATTTTTCGCATGCACACGTGGAGAAAAACGAGGGTATGGCGTGGAGCGGTGAGGTTGTACGAAAGGGGTGTGTGAGTGGGGGGGATGAGAGGAATGAAACCACCCCACTCGCGCGCGTCAACCGCCGCCTCCACCACCACCGCCAGCTATCGATCCGTCTTGAATAATTTCGCGGCCGATTCCTTCGCCGCGCGCTCCCCGCGCGCGCTTCGATTGCGACTACGATCGCGAGCACTTTCGAGAATGGCCATCGATATTGTCCGTTTCCTCATTAGCGTTTTCCTCCCTGTCGACGACGGGACAAAAATTCACTCCCCCCTCCCCTTCCCCCGCTCGCTATCTCGCCGCGTGGCAGCCTTTTTCCGCCCTTAACGATGCCTATTTTCCCTTCGATGCCCGCCAGGAATCGAGAGGGAGAGGGGGAAGTTTTATTGGTTGATCCTTTGAATGTTTTTTTTTTGTCGATCGCGGGGTGAAAGGAAATACCGGAGGCGAATGAACGTCTGAGATCCGAAAGGAACGAACAAACTGTTCGCTCGACGTAATAAATTCGTAATAAATACGCGGTGAGCTTTGTTCTGTAATTACGAAAAAGTCGGTATCGCCATGATTGATCCTGTGACGGGAGGAATAAACATACGGGACTTGATGAATCGAAACCCTTCGAATTATTATGAAACGAATGTATTAAACTCTCGAGAATAGTTCAATTTATCGATTATTAATAATTTATGATCGATTGAAAATAGGATAAAAACTCTGCTTTAGGCTAAATTAGGCCGAACATTTTTGCGCGTTCTTTCGTGGCCTGGAAACGGAAATAAGTTTCGATTCGATGAATTGTCGCGTCTTCTCGTCACCCTTATGCCCAGGATAATCGGGATCGAAACGTGGGGGGTGACGGTATCGATCAAAACGCGGGTTAAGTTATACAAGACTTACTTTAAAAATAGCCTGTAGAGTACGGCGCTGAAGGTCTGTGAAAACCAGGCGCGGTTTCTTGGGGGCGGGCTGTTGGTGTTCTGCCTGGCTCGCCATCTCGTCTTTCCTCTTGCATGCTAAAATTCAAGACGATCCCTTTAGTCCAAACCCTCGTGAAGAGGCATGTAAACTGCCGTTTTACAAGAAACAAAATACAGGTAAATGAACGGTTAACAAGAAATTAAAAAAGAAATCAATAACAACTTAGAAGAATCAATAACAAGAAAATGAAGACTTTACTTTAGCCACTTCGAAAGTTTAATCCCTTTCTATTTTGAAATTACATTTCTCAACCCGTTTTAATTAATTCAACAATTTTTCCGCGATCTCTAAGAATATTGACCTAAATCGATGCGAAAATAAACTCTAGATCTAATTTCAAAGTATCTTTAGTCGTTTCGGATCTAATTTTCTTCGATTCTGAACGAATAATGTTCGCCGACCTCCTTCAATTGGTTCGTGCTTGAAAAAACTTCGGTACGTGCTGTATGTATGTACACAGTTCGTTTTTGATGAAAGTCGACGGTGAAAGGATAAAAATTTTCGAAAATAAACACCCAAGCATCTAAAGGTAATCCTAGAAGAAGAATTTTAGACCGTGGAACTTCGAAGAATTTCCACGGGGAGAGGGTTGCAGAGAATCAAGCACAAACGGATTAAAACGTCCGGAGCCGGCCTCGAAAGACATTCCATGGACGCGAAAAGACGCGAACTAATTGGTAATTAGTCGATGAAAAGGCGTTCTCGGTTAAAAGAGAGGAGGGAAAAACTCGAATTCGAATGGCTACCGTGTTCTTCTCGGACTGGTTCGTAAGTAGCCATTAAACGCGAACACGTTTTTTTCTTCTCTTAATTGTAAAAGAAAAGAGAGGAAAGAAGGTGCAAAAAGTCCAGGACGGAAGAAGACGAGAAAAAGAATTTCAGTTCGCCTGTAGAGACATGTTCCCGCTCCTCTCTCTTTCTTTAATTGACGATAGTTTCCGAGTTAAGACGTCGTTCTTGGTGAAACGAAAGGGAAAACGGTTTTTTCAACGCAAATTCAATCGTATGTACTTACTTCCGCGTTGTGGAATCTGTGCAGCTGAAAGCAGAAAAAAAAGACGAATGTGAATCAATGGTGAACGGAAATCGTGTCGACCCCCTTTTCTACAGGGGGCCGAAGGGGGATGGATCTAAAGAGAAATCTCTTTAACTTTACATATGCTTTTTTGTAACTCTTTTTTGTCGTTATTCTGCAAATGTAACGTTATTCTTTCTTTTACTCTCTCTCTTTCTCTCTCTCTCTCTCTCTCTCTCTCTCTCTCTCTCTCTCTTGTCAAAACAAAACACTGAACAACGGAAAAAGAAAAAACAAAAATATATCTCGAATTACAGATACACACTGAGTAATACTTATAATGTTCAAGGGCAATAATCAAACATGTACACAAGTCACTGGATTCAAAATAATGGGGGTTCGGTTGCATACCACGAATATTTCCAAACTGATATCAATAAATATATATATATATATAACTACAGCTGATAAACATGTCACTAAAGGGTACCAAAAAAGGGGGTGGGGGTTGGTCGGGCGGGGCAAGGGGTTTGGGGGGTAGGGGGGCGGACGTGTGACGATGCAAGAGTGTCAAGAGATGCATTTCCTTGGAGAAGCGAGAGTGGTTTTTCGCTGTGTTTTCGTTTTTGGTGTCTTTCGAGTGAGTGATATGTATATATTATTGCCTTGTTTCGAATCTGAGTGGTATCATGTCTGTTCTCTAACCCATTCCCCGACGTTCTTTCTCGTTGTCATTGGAACGATTCCAACGACCGGGCGAGAAGTAATTTTCCGTGCGTCCGGATGAAAACCGGCCGAGTAGATTTAAACCGAGCCGCACCGGAAGACTCGAACTTTGACAGAATTACACGCTCCAGCACCACCATCAGAGGAGTGTTTAATTTTTCCGATAAAGAAAGAAACAAACATACGAGACTCTGTCTCCGGTTTCTCAACGATCCTGTCGCAGAGCGAGATTACCCATCTCTTATTCCAGGAAACTGTGTATTATTCACAGACTATCTAATACCTTAACGAAAAGATCCCAAGATTTCGTGGTTTCCTAATTGGAACGAATCTTTTCTTAATTAGATACTCATCTGGAGTTTCCAATTTTCCACTTAAAGGACATCTCCTTCAAGTCTGTAATTCTCAAATTACAGAATGTCCTCGTCTTCTTTCGGCTTCTTAAGCAAATAATTTCCAAGTACCCCCCAAGCTCTCTATTAGACGATTCCACCAACCAAACTCCAAACATGGACCTTTCCGATCAAGCCCCGTTTCTACGTTCCCCTCTTTCGAGAGTGAGCACACGGAAGAAACTTCGGAGAAATCAATGGAATGAGCGATTTTGCCATGCAAAAAAATGGGGGAAAAAATCAAATTTCACGGTATTGACCGTTTCACGGGGGATTCGAAGTTCCTGGAACAGAGAGAATGGTTTCTCGTGAAACTTAATGGGAAAAAGAGCGTCACACCACGGGAACGGCCATTTCCCGCGGGAACAAGTGAATCGCGGAATTCGATTTTAATGTCGCTCGCCGATTGACCGCCCTTTGGAAATAATAACGATCGCGAGAGAACGAACGAACGAGCGAGCGCTCGCTTTCGACTCGATCGACGGTATTAGCTCGAAATTGGAACGTAATCACTGTCGGCCCTTTGTGTCGTCGATGGTAACCGTCACTGGCGCATAATTGCGGACAAGAGAAGCAGAAATAAAAGCGAAACAGACACATAAAAAAAAATAACATTTACACTCTCCGTCCAGCGTTCCCCTCCCTCTGGCTCGCCTCCGAAATTTCCGTCACACCGTTGCGGAAACACGATCCGATATTAGATTAAAGAACTCGTCAATTTTTCCTTTGTCCGGCCAGGATCGGGTCTCTCGAAACTTGGAAATCGTTTAAATTCCCGCGCCCTTTCGAGCCACCTCGCCGCGTAGGTATCGAATAGTGTCCGCTCGATCTGCAAAATAATCCTCCGCCGCGCCACGTTCTTTCGGGGAGAAAATCAATCTAGAGAATCGAATAATCGTAGACGGAGATACAATTCCCCTACGAAAGATACGAAGCCCAAAGTTCTCGATTCTCAATCGTACAATACCTATTTAGCTACCAAAAAAATCTTCTCGAACAATCTCACCCGCGAATCACATAAAATGCGAGAAGTCAGATCGAATGCTTGGAGGGGGGTAAAGGAAAAAAAAATGAAACGAGACGCGTCCGTAAGTCGATTGTCACGGCGATCGAGCCTTTCCCGCTAGAAAGTCCCGGAGGGGGTAATAATGAACGCGTCAATTTTCCGTCTCTACCGGCCCCTGTCCACCCTTCACCCCCAGAGAGCCCTCCCCATCCGCAACCCCTCGCAATGCTATCCGTGGCTGGCTCTCGATGTCCCTGTTCCCGGTGCCATTTTTTTTTCGCGAGCCTCCTTTCATTCGCTATCGGCCCCGCTTGCTAATGGCACGCGATTGCCTTTTCACCCCCACCCCCACTCACCTCCACCAATCTTCAGGTGTCTTCGTCCTTTTGCCGCACCATCTCCCTTTCAACGTGCGCCCATTGGCGTGTTCATTTTTCTTTTTTTTTTCGTGGATCGCGAAAGCCTCGAGCAGAAAATATTTTTTGACCCGGAAGCACCGTACCCCCCCCCCTCCACCAAGGATTCTCAGTGAGAATTGTTATTTAAGATCATTCAGGGGCTGATGGCGTGTTCTGACAACGGCTTAACGAGGGGTCGATGCTGGGATCCCTGGATAGACGATCGCCGCGGTGCAATCGGAACCACATACAGTTTCATCACGATTGGGGAAGGAGGGGATATTTTTTTCTCGAATTCTAGTTTTTTAGTCCCCGAAAGGGTGGAAGTAGGGGGATATGTTTTCGAATTCTAATTTTTGTAGTCCCTGAAAGAGAAGAAGAAGAGAGTATCGAATTGTCGCTTTCTCGAAGTAGAATGAATTCCAAACGGATCGTGTATATGTATGTATACACGTATTAAGAGAAACAATATTCACAATGGAAACCAAGAGCTTTTTGTGTAACAGATACGCGATAGTTCTCTCCTCGGTTCTTCGAAATTTCTTTTCTCTCTCTCTTTCTCTTTCTCTCAGCCCACAACAAAAATCTATTCTTAGCGAGAGTGGCGATATGAAAGGGGGTTCGAACGACGCGGAGAACCGGTGACAGTCTCCGGACAAGAGGGTGGGATGACGGGGGGTGGATAGGGGGAAGGTGGACGCGTTAAAATTGAAAGCCGGAAGAGCACGGTCGCCGTTGTCAGCCACCGGATTCCGTGTTGTGTGTATCCTCGTGAACACGGGGCGGGCAGAAACTCGAAATGGATGCAAAGCCAAGAACCGGATGTTACGGATCGATCGGGAAGGATCCTAGAAACGGGGGCGAACTGGGCCAAATCCAGTCGGGCGAACCGCCGCGATAAAGCATTAACGAGCCTCCTCCTGTGTCTCTATCTCCCTCTCTCTCTCTCTCTCTCTCTCTCTCTCTCTTTCTCTCTTCTAACGTGCTGAAAATCTCTGACGCTGTCGGCCGTCCGCCCGCGAGCTTTTCGGAAAATAATCCGGCTGACACTTTGTGTCCGCGGCCTGAAAAGGCCACTTTGACGACGGGACGGTGAGGATCTGTTCGCCCGGAAAAATTTCATCGGCCACTACACACATTTACACACACACATATTCCGTCTAATCGAACCATAGGTGGTCCGACCGTCACCGAGCGAACGTGTGTCGCACGACGGCCAACAGGAAGGTGATAGGGAACTGGTCAAATGTGATTCTGGCGGAGAACGTGTTTTCCTCTTCCATCCACCCGAGTTTTTAATGTCCATTTTCAGTAACGAAAAGATCGATAAGGAGTTCCGAGATGGAGGGGAATAATCCGATGATCGTTTCGGCAGATTCAGAACGGCGGCTCCTTCGTAAGAATAACGGGCATAGTTTTTCTGTTGTACGATTCCAGCTACGTTATACATCCAATCTGAACTATGTACGCACGTGTACCTTCCACCAAAATACACGCATCAGCAGAACGCTCGATATATATTGAGAACTGGAAAGAAGATTCGTGTAATAGGGTGTCTGCGGTCCAGATCGGGAGGGCACTATTGACTTTCCAGCCCGTGTAAGTGAAGAGAGCAGCGAAGCCACGAGACCATAAAACCGGAAACTCCATGAAACCGTTGGAATCGGATTCACGTACGATCCTCCCAGTCCCTTCCCCCGTATAACCGATGGCCAGGCCCAATCAAAAGGAAGTTTGTCAGAGGATGCAAGTGCAGCCGGGGCACGTAGATTGTGTGTCGTGTTCGTACAAGGACGTAGGTATTCATCCCTGCGTCGCAGCCGCCCAGTCTTTTCGAATAACTCAGAAATGATTGCGTTTCGGCCCCAGGCGGCGGCGGCGTCACGTGGCCTCAATAGCTTCTCGTATATATAATAAAATAATACACGCAGAGAAGGCAGCGGCTACACCGCTGCTGTCGTGCATTTACATGGGCCACGTGAGCCCGATACTCTATTCTCTCTGGCCTTTTCCACCCCCGGTACGTCCTACCTTCCCTCACCTCCATCATCGATACACACACACAAACACACTAGGTGTGTCGGAACTGTTCTGGGTCTCGCGCGACTCTGGAATCGGCTGACAGCCTGTTTCAACGATCACTTCGATTTTTAAACGGTCCCCATCCGTCGTTCTCTGTGGCATTCGCTCAGAATTATCTCTCGACGTGGAGGGATGGGGAGGGATGATGACGTCTGCTTCCGGTGGAAACTTGGTGGAGAGCTTGGATAGCCAGATACACGTTGAATCTTGGTTTCTTTTCATTTACAATATATCATCGATGTGTTTAGTGGGGGTTTCGAATGGGCCTTTAGTAAGTTCCCTTGGTTATTTCGTCAGGGACCTTCGTCCGTTAAATTGTTAAGTGTCTATTCCGTTAAAATGGAGAAACGACGGCTGGATTAACCACGTTTCCAGTGAATTAATTTGCAGCGATAATCTAATTATTCTTTTCCCCAGTTT